ATTCAAAATCACAAGTTTAAGCATAATATGTGATTTTTGAGAAATCCAAGTTTCAAAGTCTCGTGTACTTGTTAAGATAGAGTGGTTATGCTTTAAACACACTTGCTTCTGACTTTGTAGATGGAGTGTGATCAGAGGAAACAAGTTAGAGGCTCAAGAATTGACTTTGTGCATAAAGTTTGCTTTTCAAGAGTGACATTATTCACTTTCTTCCTAAAATGGTAATGTGAATTGGATTATAGCTCAAAAGTTTGTGTAATCCATTAATTATGGATAGATACACAATTTAGAAGGCCTTCAAAGCAAGATTATGCAGCCTAGCATTGAAATTGCATTATGTGTTAATCAAGAAATGACTTGTAATTCAAGAATGAAACCCTAACTTTTTGCCTTCGATTCTCCTTGCTCAAGTATGATCTCAATGAGTTCTTAGATATTTTGGAAAGCTTGTAACATCCTCTACAACCTATATGTTGGACATTTTTGAATATCCATCTTAGAACTTGTGAAAAATTGCCATGAAGTTAAGTCAAAATCCTGCCTAAACTAGGGCAAAATTTCACTAAGTTTCCAAGTTTCAAGAATATGTATTCTTAAAATCATAACTTGAAATCCATGCATTTATAGAAGAAGTTGTGTTCTACAATGTTTTAGATCTCATTGATATCTATAACTTTAATGTTGGAAGTTTCCTTTGAATCATATTTCATCATGGTGAAAATTTTGCTTAAAGTTATGAAAAATATGAATTTTCCAACACTTCGAAAAATTTCTAAGTTTAGAAATTTTGACTTTTCAAAATGAAATCTTGACTTTTTGATTTCTTGATGAACAAGTTTCATATTTTTACATATTTTGATGAATTGTGATTCTTGACACTTGATTTTGACCAAAAAGTCAAAGTTTGACTTTTCAGTGTACAATTGACTTTTCATCAGTTGACTGAAATTCAACTATCAACCAATTGAACTTGAGGAATGTTTTAAGCCATGCCATTAGGTGAAAATGAAGTATTTGAAACCTTGATATCATAACTTAAACCAATCAAATATTTTCTAGGTCAAAAATCAGAAATTGCACTTTCCCAATCAAAATCTTAATTTTGACCATTTTGCCCTCTTGATGATCTGATCAAATTTCTTCAGTAATTGTGATGAAAACTTGATCAAATGACATATATGAGTTCATAATGTTGGTATGGACCAAAAATCATGAATTTTGACTGTAAATTGACCACAATTAACTTTTTCTCCAATACAGTTGATTTTTAGGTCAACTGAATAATTGACTGAGCAAAAATGTGATCCAAGACTTGAAACTTGACATGAGAAATATTGAGGGTCCAAAATGATCCATGAAAGTCATATGGGGCATTAAAAGTCCATTTGTCCTTGTACAAACTCAAACCCTAATTTTCAATCATCAGTGCTAGAGGAGATGTCTTGAGCTGATCAACCCTTATGCAGTCTTGAACCAAAGGAGGTCTTGTGAGAGATTATTTGATAAATGAGAGGAAATTTTTTTGGGGGTACAACAGCTTCAAACAAGTATCCAATTATTGGATCAAGAAATATTTTCAAATACAAAGTTCATATAAAATACATTTTCTCAACATTCTTTCAAAAACTCGTCTTAGCATACAATATTGAAGCAATTGAATAATCTCAACACATCCAAAAGTTTACTTAGATGAGGTGTATTAGGTTATTAACCTAAAATAATTTGTAAGTTAATAGGTATAATTAACATATATTAACATGTTGGCTTAATGAGAATAAATATCTTAATACTTTGTGTGTTTCGAATATCTAATTTAGAATTGATGATCTCACAAGTATCAACTATATAATTAACTTTAGACGTCTAAAGAATGGATCTTCAAGTCCATTTTTTATGAACATATGCTACAAGATGTTCAATATTAATTTTTAATAATATATGTGATACTTATAAAAAAAATTCTGAAAAATTCAGAAATTGAGATCTTAGTCTGAGAAAACAACTTCATAAACTTCTGGTTGTGAGTAAACAATAAATATTTGCATGATATTTTAGTCGATGAAATAATTAATGTCATGAAAAACTCAATTTTTTAGAATTTTATTTTCCTTTGGAAACACACAAAATTTATTGGATTGAAGAAATTTCTGATTCTTCAATACTAGTTTTTTGGATCATAAACATATTCATGATCTTTTAGTTGAGAAAACAATTTCATAAACTCCTGGTTGTGAGTAAACAACAAATATATGCATGATCTTTTAGTCGATGCAATAGTGAATATCATAAAATATTTAAATCGTCCACATCATTGGTGTATTGATTCACAAATATCACCTTACATATGTTATATAAAAACCCAACTTATAAATTTTTAATTTTCTTCAGGAACACACAAAACTTATTGGATTAAAGAAACTTCAGGTTCTTCAATATCAATTTTTGCATCATAATACATTTGAGATGACTCAACTGATTTTGCCAACAACACACTTAATTGTGATTTGTAAAATTCTAGTTTACAATAATATATATGATTATATTCTTCTAATTTGTTTCAACCCATTGTAAATGATTAAATAATTTGTATAAAATATATTCATAAAAATTGATGGCATATAATTTAATTACACAATTTCGACATCTAAATCAAAAATTTATAAATTTTGATAATACTCACAAATTAATAATATTACATTTTGAAACAAGTATTTGTCAATCTTAATAAATTTACAATCGAAAATATTTTTTTCTACTTATATATGTCATAAAAACTTAATACCCATTATGAGAACAAAAATCAAAAATAAAATTATCAAATAAAATAAATTATTATATTGAAGAGAATGAAATCACTATTAAATTATAAATATTATCAAATAAAATAAAATTTTCATGTAATTAAAATTTTCCTTTCTCTCTCCTCTCTTTCAAATCAAAGGTATAAATTTTTAATCACAATTTTTTTTATACAATTCTTCGGGAAATCAATCACAAATATTTTACGAACTTCATCAGAAACTCAATCATAAATCTTTTTATGCAATTCTTTAGGAACTCAATCACAAATCTTTTTATTAATAAAAATAATAATATTTGCAATTCTTCAATTATTCATGAACTATAAAACAAATTCATTATTTAGCTATCCTTCATGAATGCTTTATTTGTTCTTCAGAAATCATATAAGAAATTAATTATTTTACTATCCTTCAGAAATATTTTATATGTTCTTCAAAAACTATATAAAAGATTTAATATTTTTCGATCCTGCATAGATGCTTCATATGTTCTTCAGAAACAATATAAACTTATTATTTTTTTATCATTCATGGATACTTCATAAGTTCTTCGAGAACTATATAATAAACTGTTATTTTCCTATCCTTTGGGGATGTTTGATATATTCTTCAGGAACTTATATAAATATTATTTTACTGTTCTTCAGAGATGCTTGATAGTTCTTCAGGAATTTATATAAATATTGTTTTATTATTTTTTTAGGGATGTTTGATATGTTCTTCAAGAACTTATATAAATATTATTTCTTAATCAATATATTATAAATAATGAATAGAAAATATATATTATAAAAAGAAGAAATAATGTTATCTTGCAAGTTTTAGAGCTTCATATTGATAACATATTATGAAATTAATAAGAATCAATATAATAGAAGAGTGAGAATGAAATAAAGAAAGAGAAAAGAAAAAATATAATTGTATTATTCTCATTATCAGTGTCGATTTCAAATACAATATGAATCATATTTATAAAATATATATAATAAATAGAAAATCTAGGACATTCATAATTATTATGTTTTTAACCCACATAATTGTTTCATAAATTTGTAGTTATGTAACCTTATATTCCATTTCATCACATTCCCATATAATTGTTTCATAAATTTGTAATTATAGCCTATAGATGTGACGTTTCACTATTCCATTCCAGCACAACCATTTTCACCTATAGCTTTTACCACGTCTATTTTTTTTAATGCAACCTTGGTAAAAGCTTATTTATTTGATGGATTTCCCATAAAATTCTATATCTTTCATACTCAAAATTGAATATTTTTATATCCAATGATCTACGGTATAGTCAATGAAAGCAACAAGATAAAACTACGTTTAATAGTATATCTAAACTCAGTTAATTCAAGGAGATTGAGTTGTTGAATCTGAGCAAGACGGTGATTCACAATTTAGACAGTAAAATACACTCAAAGAAACTCATGTTAGTAATTTGAGGTTAATTGGATTATAATTTATGGAGATATTATTTGAAATATTAGTAAATTAGTAAAAGTCACACATCTAATAATATATGGCGTAAACATGTTTATAAGAGAAATTTTTACATTGAAGATTGATTTTCTAAAGATGAGTTAGGTTCTAAGATAGTATTAAAATCTCGTTCAAAATTCATTAGAACATCAGATATTATCAAATCCAAATCCAATAGTATTAGACACAATTGGACGTGAGAATTTGTTAAAGGGTCTCAAACAATATATTCTTCCGATATCTAGTTAGTAATAAAAGAGATGCAAACTCTAACATATGATTCTCTATATCTTTAATTATATGTACTTGGTCATAGTTAGAGTTCTTTACTCTTCTCTAAGAATATGTTTTGTAATAATCAAATTCAGTTTCTCTTTCACAAGTTAACTAAAAGTAGGCAACTGAACATCATTTTTTCTTTTGGCGAGGTTGGTATTTTACGGTATAGGCTTAGTTTTGCCAATCTAGTTTTAACATTTTTTAAGTTTAAATGTAAACCAAACTATTTCTTTCCCATAATTTAAACTCAATATAAGATATACTTCTTAAGATATTATTCATATAAATGCTAAAACGATAACTCAAAGTTGCTACAAAAATCTAACCAAAAAACTAAAAAACTGGCCACCTTAATATTTACAAAAGCTACCAAAAAAACAAATACAAAATGCATTTTGGTTGTGAGACTTGTATTAAACAGAGAATACCCTACAACCTTTGAGGAGCACCTGAGAGGATTGGATCATTGATAGCTGAACTATGTTTTCTTATTGCAGGAATACTAAGAGAACGTTTTCTTAATTTGGCATTACCATTTGATGAGAATTTCTTCTCACTTTTTTCAGCAAGTAGAGAAGAATAAGAGCATAGAGGCTCTTGAGATGCCACTTCTATTGGCACTGGTTCACTTCTAGTTCTGAGAAAGTGATCCATGTTTTGCTTGTACTTATTTCCATGGATTTTAATTGCAAGCTCCGCGGAAGCAAGTTTACTCGTAAACTCATAATCATCATCGGACCAATAACCATTTTCCAACACATCTTGCATTGCAAGATCGTCGTACTCTTCATCAGACTTTGTTGATTCCTCATCAACAGATCCAACCTGCAAAGAAATAAAAAATGACACACAATTAGTTACGCAACGCTAATCTGACTCTGTGTAGCAGACAATTCAGATTAAGGTGTCTGGTGTCTGACATTGACACTGATACTTGGGGTTACACAGTACTAATATTTTCCATTACATTGAATTACTTCTATTTCCTCAAATTACTACAAGTTTCAACGCATCAATGTCATGTCCAGAATATGTTATTGTGTTGGTTCTTGATAGGTACTGCTCAAAAAACTTAGTTCAGCATAACTTCATTCCCAAGTAAAGACAATATTGTCGGTTGCAACTCATATTACCGTAGCTAGCAAGGGCTATAGCAAAGCAAACCCAGAGATTGAGACTCTTCTATATGACAAATTTCATCACATATATAGTTATTTCAAGATGGGTAAACCATTTCAAGAACAAAAAACCTACCTCATCAACATTATTGTCACCGTCACCGTCGTCACTGAAATCCTCATCACTGCCCACATCTGGCTGGTCGTCATTCTCTTCATCACTACCATGCACCGAGTAGTGTTCCTTAAGCTAAACAAACAATAAAAAGAAAATCAACAAAAGACAGATTATCATGTTGAACACAGAAGAATATAAAAAAACATTCAAATTTACCTCCTTGGCCGGGCAATCTGACATCCTAGGTGAGCTACAGGTAGAGGATGGATATCTACTTCCAGTATCGGTCCCATCAGCTTTTGAATCATCAATACTTCCTGCATGACTAGTGCCACCATCGCTAGGCCAAGCACTGATTCCATAAAAACCAAATTGAAGATTTACTGGCTCCGCCTTACCAATTCGTAAGGGACCATACATTGGATGTCCCATTCCATTTTCTGGTCCTGGACCCCATACGGGCTTCCCATTACTATCGACTGAATTAACAGGCCAAGCCTTTGCGACAGACCCATCTGTATTAACTAAAGCCATCAGATCTCTTGAAGAACCTTTTCTTTGAATCAATTGAAACATTCCTTTTGAACTCAAAGAGTTGGCTGCACATTGATTTCTGTATTCCTCATCAACAACTGTTACGGTATTCCTAACAGGATCGTATAGTTGATCCCCAACTTCACGCCTTCGAAGACAGCTGAAGACAGTTGCATGAATGGCTGCAACACTCTTGTCAACATTTGTATTGTTTATTTTGGGAACTAAATGCTTTTCAGCACGCTTACAGAGATAATCCTGGATTGTTCTGATGTTTCGGATATACTTCACATACTTGTTTTTAGCTGGGTCCAGTGTCATATACTTCGCACGCACAGCAAATCTTTCCAAGTGTTTCTCCTCGTTTGTAATGTATACCATGAATGGTATGATCGATGGGTGTTTTTTCATGAGTCCCATCTGCATGATTGTTGAGATTGTTATTGTTACGTGATGAAGAAAATACACCAACATATATATTGACATTATAAGGAAATAAATAATTAAGGACGCAAGGATCAAAATTTGACGTACGACAAAGTTGAGGCTCAGATGAACACCCTCGACAACAACAGACTCTTTTCGTTCTTCCCAGGAAGTGATTAGCCTATCAAGACTGTCTATCACCATCTCACTCTGCGCCTTATATCCTTCGACAGCCATTTCTTTAGGACTTGGAAGCTCAGTTGCACTAGAGCTCATCTCGGACGTTCGTAAGTCAGATTTGACAGAATTGTCACTGTCAATCACTTCATCCTTGGTAAGTGACTCCGAGACACCTTTCATCTTTTTTGCTTTCCTTTTGGCCCTTGCTTTTGCAACAGCAACAGGATCCAAACATTCGCCTGCATGGTAGGTAGAAGCCCACAACAAAGGGTTTTCCTTCTCATTAGCAAAGCTTCGCATCATGTGCCTAATAGAATCGGTTGATACAACTGTTGTGATTCCCAATCTGCTACCCTGAAGTTCAGATATAAATGAATTCATTATTGAACTGCAAGAATAGTATATTTTTTCGACTTCATTAATCACATGGATATCTACCACAAAATAAGTAAAAACTAGAACACATATTTGTATTGCATAACAAACAACTATTTATGTATAGAAAAATACCAGTAATGCAGACAGCGTAGATTTGCCACATCCACTAGTGCCACACAACAGCACTGTCACGGATTCCTTCCTCTCGCGGAGTCTGAGAACAGAAAAACATCAGGAACATATAAATGTATTAGATAAATATAGTCCCAATAAAGATATGAAACAATGTGGTACCTGCAGGCTAGAACCAAGTCTGCTCTATGGTTAGGACCCACGTATTTGTACTCGGCCAAAGCATCACATGCAATATCTAGAAATGTTTCTCTCCGAACAAACACAGATGTCCGTCTTTTGTACAACTCAAATGGTATACTCTTACTTCTATTATCTTTCCCCAAAAATGATTTGCTTCCTAAGTCTACTTTACCAAGGCAAACACCAGCATTGCAGCCTTCTTTTTTCACAAAATTTCCCTTGGGTGCGTCAAGACCTGACGAAACTGCTGCATCAGGCTGCAAAATATCGGTAGAACTCTCGCTCTTTGTGCGTTCAAAAACTGTTTTGCTAATCTGATAAGAAAAAAAGGAAAACATAGTCAGTGTAAAGGTTGGCTAATATGAATTCTGCTCTAAGACATGATAAACATCATCAATAATACAAGACCATTAAACATTCCATAAACTAATTTAAAAAAAAAACTATTTCGCTTCAAATTACCGCCATAAGCTATAAGCTGTTTAGCAAAACAAACATCACTTCAAAAAACAACAATTAAACATGTATCACTAAATAAACCCCTAGCATGCTTCCTTCAATATTCTATTTTCCCCCTTCATATATCCGTTCGAAAAATAGTCGGTTAATTACCACAATACTTAGTAGACAAGCAATATCATTCCTTTTTCACCATGTCTGCCGCAATAACTCGTTTCATCTTATATATGCAATCTAAATCTTATCAGAATAATAGATTTCCAAATCAACATAAATTTCCTTCCATAACAAATTAAATATAATCCACTACAATCCATTACTTCATTCAACTAGATAAGTAAACCCTAGTTGTATAAACAAAAATAAATCCAAAATGATATATTAAGTCCAAATTTTAGACAAATAAAAAAACATTTGACCTTCTTTATTTTACTTATAATTGGTAATAATTAAAGTAGAAAAGTTCACTTTAGATCTTCCTAAAACATAATAATCAAATAAAAAAGTTGAATTTACATGCATAATAATAATAATACCAAACATTTTTTGAATCCGTTGAACAATTCAAAACAAGATCAAACAAACTATAACCCAGTCAAAACAATGACCCAGAAAAATATAAAAAAACAAAAGTCATAAAACCAAATCAACAAAACGGTCAAACCGGTCATCAAGGCAACTAAAACCGCCAAAGAAAGAAAAATTCCTCAAAATTCCACTACTACTAGAGTACCCCATGAATCTGAAAATAGATCTCAATTCTTAACCATAAAAAATAGCTATAATTTTTTTTTAAAAAATTAAACTTAATCACAAGAGTCCAGATAAATGAAATCTACACAGATATATACACCCCAAACATGAAAGTCCGACACTGATGAATAATTATAAAAAATCACAAGTGTCTCACGTCTAGAGACACTGACATGCTCATCAGAGATATAGGTGCTACAGAAAAAATTTCATATTAAAAACTAGAAAAGAAAAAATCTCAAATCATCAACACCACCAACGGTTTTCATGATCGATGGAGACAAATATAATAACTAACAAATTAATTAAATAAAAATAAAAATAATAATAATACCTTGAATGCGTGTCGCGCTTTGCATCCCATAAGTTGCAGAGTACTCTGCAAAACGGAACGCGTGTAGCAAAACGATTCTTTTCCTTTGTCTTTCTGTTTCTTCTCAGCATCGTCAATAACAACTATATACAGTATTTTATTACTACCCTCACCAATTCCACCATGAATCAGATTATTATTTTTCATATTTTGAATTTCAACCTTCATTCACACAAACAAATGCAAAAACAAAACAAAAAACACTAACTTCCACCACAAGCAAAAGCCATTGCAAAAAACACGGTGTTACAGTTCCCAGTGTTTACAATACCAGAACCAAAATCAAATGAAATAAATAGGAACGAAATTGAAGTTGGCCGTAATGTGAAACAGTTATTGAAATCGGAGTTTGAGAATTCGACAAATCGAGAATGGAAAATGAATAATGTGGAGGAAGAGATTTATCAATTGAAGAACAATTGAAGAACAATTGAAGAAGAAAAAGAAGGGGAATATTAGGGTGAAGAATTAGAAAATGGTTTGTTATTGATGTATGATTTTTTGTTTGCGCATTCTGGTTTCGGTGCTTTATTTTTTTTTTTGTTTCGGTGACTCTTTCTATGAAAGTCGATAAAAATAAATAGGAGTTGGAGGTTTTTGAAAAGACGGATTTCGCCCTACTATATTCTTCGAATTTCCGATTGCCGCGTTTTTCTCTTTCTTTATTTTGCAATTCTGGAAACCGACCTAAATAGCGATGTACCGTTTCAAATTGCTTCTATTTTATTTCATGTTATTAATTTTTATCTATAAAATTAGTGATTTATATTTTATTTAATAATAATTTTTTATTCTAGTGGAATAAATTCTCTTTAAGAGTGGTTTGAAAAAAATACAATTTATTTTTTTATTATTTTGAATAAACTATAACCATGACTATTTTCTAAAGTGTGGAATTAGTTCTTTTTACATATAAAACTGGAGAGACTAAACTTTATAAAATTATGGGTTCCCAACTATATAACCAAAATAGTATTTTTCAACAAAAAAAAACTAAATAGTTGTCTTGTAAATAGTACAATTTAATTGGGAGTTGCAAAGAGTATTATTAGAGTGTGAAACAAATATGTGATTCTTTAATTTTTTTTCAAATTTAAAGTTTAATTATTTTGCCTCAAAATTAATTAGTGTTTTAAAAATCTAAGTTTTAAATTTGTTATCAGTATTTTAGTCACACCGAATGAGTTTGATTTTAAAGATTCGAAAGAGATTTTTAAAAATAAATTATTCGAGAATAAAAATAAAAAAATTTGATTTTCGGATATTTTCAAAAAAAAATTATTTGATATATTATTTAAATTTTAAAAAAAATTAATAATTATATTTTTTAATAAAAAATTATATAAAATTATATGGAAATGAATATTTTCACCTTATTACATGAAAATAAAATTATTCGAATTATAAAAGTTATTGAAAATTATTTTATTTATTAAAACTTTTATATCTAGAAATAAATTTTCTTCAAACTCTCAGTAAAAATATGTATAACCATTTTTTAAAAATGATTGTTGAAAATTTAATTCTTAAAATTAAAACAAATAATTGATGAACTTTAAAAAATATCTGAATATTTATGAAAAAATTTCACATTTTAAAATTAAAAATAATGATTTTTTTTACCTGATGTATTGAGAAAAAAATATATAATATATTATTTTTTAAATTTCAAATGTTATTATTAATAATGTATTATAATATTTCTTTTGACTACTTTGTAAAGAAAAAATAAACTACTTAAATATTTTTACTGAATAAATAAATATAAATTTAAACATTAACATTCGTTTTAAAAAAAAAAACAATGTTTTGTTATACTTTCAATTATAAACTTTGCATTTTCTAATATTTTATTTAAAATAATATTAAAGATTGATTAAATATAATACTAATGAAGTATCTTTATTAAACCAGTTCAACATTCAATTCTAGTTGGTGAAGATTTGGTTGGAAGTAGTAGTTAAACTTAAGTATTTTACCGATCATTTTCAAGAATCTTTTTTGGATAGGCTTTAGTTAGATGGTATGCACTTTTGGCCTTTTTCATCTTTAGATTGGATTTGTTGTCTTCTCCTCCTCTCTAGTTTGAGGATGATTTGGCAATCTTTCTCTTTGATGGAAATAAAAGCTCGGTGCTGATTATTTTAATTTTGTTCTCATCAAGACTTTTTGGTTTCATTCACAGGCTTCACTTTCTAAGAGTTTTGTTTCCTATTTTGTGACTTTGATTTCAAAAGTGGATTCTCCTTCTCGACTAAGGGATTTTCAACTTTTTTTTAGTGGTTCATTTTATAAGTTTGTATCCAAAATTCTAGCCTCTAGGTTATCTATGGTTAAGGTGAAGTTGATCTCGGCAAATTAATATATATTCCTTAAAGGGAGACTTTTGGTTGATGGGGTGATTATTGTTAATTAGTTAGTGGACTTAGCTAAGAGATCAAAGAAATATTGTCTCGTTTTTAAGGTGCATTTGGAAAAGGTTTACAATTCACTTAACGGAAGCTTCTTGGATTATATGCTTTTTAGATATGGGTTTGATGAGAAATGGTGTGTTTGGATGTTTGCATGTATTTTTTCAAATAATATGGGTGTTCTTGTTAATAGTTGTCTCATCCAAGAGATTAGTATTAAGAGAAAGTTGAAGCAAGAAAAATCTCTAGCACATTTCCCTTTTCTTCTTGCAGTTAAGGGTTTATGTGGGTTGTTTGTTATGACTATTGATTCAGATTTTTTTTCTGGATTCAACATACAAATGATACCTTATTTTAGTTGATGTGTTATTGGAGAATCTCTGGCATACCAAACTTATCCTTATGGGGGTTGAATTAGCTTCGAATCTCCAGGTTAATTTTTCTAAGAGTTGTCTTATAGGTGTTAATGTGGATTATGACTTCGTGAGTTAGCGATGATATCTCCACTATAGACGGGGTAATATCCCTTTTAAATATCTTGGCCTTTCAGTGAATGTCAATCCTCGTAATGAGTCTACTTAGAAACCTCTCGTTACTTTGATTACTAGGAGGTTGGTTACCTGACATCATAGACATGTTAGTTTGAGGGGGAGAGTGGTTCTGTTGAATTCAATCCTTAATTGTATACCAGCTTTTTACATTTCTTTCTAAAAATTGGTGTTAAGGTGTCGAAGAGAATTATGGGGATCCTTAGAAGGTTCTTATGGGTGTGTGAAAGATGAGATTAAGATTTGTTGGGTCTGCTGGTCTGATGTTTGTAATCCTAAACAATCTTGAGGGTTGGGTGTTAGAATACCAGACTCGTTAACTTAGTTTTGTTCGTAAGTTTTATTCGAGATTGTTAACTCAAGTTACTGGGTTGTGGAGGGATATCTTATCTAATAGATATGGCACTTCAGTGATTTCTTCTTTAAGAAGAAGTACGTCTCATAATTTTTCAGCTTTCTTCTCCCGGGTGAAAGTGTATCTCTTTCGTATGTCATAATGTTGGAGATCTGTACGTCTATTTTGTGGATGGAGTTAGCTGAAAGGTAAGGAATAATTTGAATACCTCTTTTGGGAAGATCTCTAGATAACATTGATCCCTTTAAAAGCAAGATTCAATAGGTTTTATCTTATTGATCATACCAAGGTAGGTATGTGTTGGAGGTTGTGGTGTTTAATGGGGTCGTATGAGATGGATTTTTTAGTGGTTGAGATATTTCTTTGTTTCGAAATGTATGGTAGCAGATGGTTTCGTTTATACTTTTCACAGGATCCCTCTTTTGCCGGATAATGATCGTTGATTGTGGCAGATCAATGGGGAGGATACGTTTTATTCAATTGCTTTAACTTATAACTCTCTTATTCTAGATAATCTTTATCCTACTCTCCCTTTAAAGCATCAACAATTATGTTTTGTCTTCTATTTGGCTAGAGTGGGTCCCTTCCAAGGTTGTTGTCTTCTCTTGACAACTTCTTAGCTAGGTGTGGGGTTCCTATCAGAGAGGTAAGGGTGTCTTGTAATTTTTGTGAGAATGTCGCAGAGTCTAGTTCTCATCTATTTATCACACGTGATATTGTCTCGACTCTATAGTATATGATCTTTAGGTGGGTGGATTGGTCTCTTATGAGTAATGGGGATGTTTTGTCATTTGTTGAGTCCTTAGTCAATTTATAGGGTTCGGCCAAAAAGAGAGGGGATCTTCTAGTGGTTTGGGTTATCTTGAAGTCTCAATAAAATTTGATTTTTTTTTTATAAAATAAAATTGTTAACATTGAGGACTTGGGGGGGGTTATTAGGATCACTTTGGCTTGAAATGGAATTTGAAAAGGTATTCGAACTATTCATACCTTTTTTTTAGTTGGAGAAACATATCCAAATATAGGCCAATAGTGGCTTTGAATGTCGATATCCTGCTAGAGGAGAAGTTTGTTTTTTTCTTCTTTCTAGTTATCCGTTTCTTCTTTCTTATTATGAAGTTATCTGTTTCTGGTTTCTATTTTTCAATAGTGGGGCTCTAACCATTTTTTTAATAGGTTTTTTTATAGTTTCTTTTTGTTGCAGTGCTTTTGTAGGCTGTTGTTGCCTAGTACTTCTCTTTGTTGAAACATTTATTTTTTCTTTTTCAAAATTATTTTATTTTAATTATTTATTGGGTACTTGTCCCGAATTCCTCAATGTGTATTAATGGTATCACTTTAGTTGTATCACTTTCTTTATATATACTAGTAACAAACTCGTGCGTACACACGAGTTCTAGTCTGATGCATGCATCTATTTACATAATATATTTATTTTAAATAGAAGGTTAAAAAAATATTTAGATCAATAATATATTTTTTCATATATAAAAATATTTAGATCAATAATAGATTTTTTCTCATATATGTAGCGGTAGAAATGTTGAGACTAAGTCATTGGATTGACTTAACTCGCACAGATCAAATAAAAAATCGTCACAGCGCTTTATTGTTTCCAAAGGGATAGGAAAAGAGTGAATAAACCCAAAAAACGAGGGGGAAATAATCTAGGTACGGGGGTTTGTTATGCAAAGGGAAGGTATTAACACCCTAAATATCTACGGTACTTTGCAGGAACCTCTTTGAAAATTTGTGTATTTTGGCTATAAAAGGTGTATACAAAAATAGATAGTGGAGATGAGAAAAGAAGTATTTTTTTACAATTTTGCATCCACCGTGGTTGTGAACCTTTAGTACCTACGTACCACCTTCTGTGCAATAGGGGATCAGGGTACTCGTACTTCACCTCAAAAAAAATTTAAAACACAAGTGTGTTGGTTAATTTTAAGAGAGGAGACATCATCATCATATCCGAGTAGAAGACATACTTACTACCCACGATCATGAGAAAGGAGAATTTGTGTCATCTCAAAGTGGAGGATATAGCTTGGATTTTAAAATCAACAAAGCTTCACTCAACACCGAAGTGGAAAATATCTCACTTTACTACATATCGTATAAGTATAGTAGCTCACATCACTACAAGAATCGACAGGAGTCTAATCTTTTGAGAAAAGTTTTAAAGTAAAAAGCCAAAGTGGCGAAATGGTTGTAATGAGGTTAATTGACTTTTAGTCTTCTCACAAAAAATGTCAAAGTATAATTAAATTGATTAAATGTTTGATTAAGAAAAGATTTTGAAAATGCATGGATTTAAGTCCAAGTTTATTGTGAAAGTGGTTCAAGTTAGAAAAACAAGAGTTTTGAAAAGGAGGGAGAATATTTTTGAAATTAAAGAATGGAGGAGATGAAGGGACTATCCTAAAGCATAAGGTAAAAGCTAAAGAAAAGAACGATCTAACCAACAAGAAGCCAACACTTGGCATAAAGAGTCGATGTAGAATTTCCATCCTTTAGATTGAAAACAAGCAAGAAAAATACTAAACCTCTTATGAATACCAAGATTCATATGAATTAAGTCTTCACAAAAATTGGGCCAAGTAACAGTTGTATACAGAGGAATTCTCAACCACAGACAAAGCATATAATCAAAATAACCTGCACACAAAGAAAATTAACCCAATGTCTCGGGGTAAACCCCAAGGACTCCAGACAAAATAACAACAGAGTCACAAGGTCCCAAGGGTATCAATGTTTCTAATCCTAAGTCCAAGAGGTCCACAATTCCATAATGCCAAGGATAGTAACCATAGTCTAAGTAACCTTAAAGCTTTTAATGTTCATGTTGATTATTAAATATCTTCAAAAAGAAAAGAAAGCTCAAGTGAGCAAAATAAAAAATACATAAAGTTAAATGCTCAAATGAGCAAAGATAAAATGACATAAAGATAAATGCTCATGTGAGCAAAGACGAAAATAACATGAAATATAAATGTTAAAGTAAATGGTACATAAAAATAAAGGCATAAAATAAAGGACATAAAGTAAAAGCACAAAGTAATGTCAATTGTTAGTGAATTAGAAGTTAGAGGTTAGTTAAATAATCATATTGAAACTTGCATTTGAAAACTCATTAGAAGATTGATAAAATTAAAACTTCTCAACAACAATTTTCATTTGTTTTTTGTCAAGTATATAATTCATTTTAAGCTGTAGCTCAAGCAATTTGGAAGGAAAGTTTTGAAAATGGATTTGAAATTTCATGGTCAAAACGTGTTTCCAGTAAAAGGTAAGTGTTGCGACTAGAACCAATGCAATGAGAGCAACACAATGATATCAGAGTTTTGAAGAATTGATTAAGGAATCTACCTATTGAAGTTGAGTTGCAGAGCTCTAAAACTGGACTTCTATGGAGCAGTATAGGGCACGATTCTTGAATGTAATTATGTGGTTAGCTTCAGGGAAGATCAAGGAAGTTGAATTGATGGAAAAATTGGATTGAAAAAGGCTCGAGAATGGATTTTAAAGTCACGGAAAATTGAGTTATGGAGCAAGTTTGGCAGGGTGATTCTGGCTATCCAAGCTTGGGAAATTGAATGGGATAGTTCATGTATTTATAGGATAAGCGAATGGGATCAAAAGGAAGAGTGAATGATGCGTTTTGGAGGGAATTCGTGCAAACCTGATGCACGAGTGAAGTGTGATCCAAACTTCACCAAAACTCATCCATTTCTCGCGTTTAGATGCACCAATCCACTTGGGAAAGTTGACTAATCATGTTTAGACCCAAAACACGTGTTAATTTGAGTTTTATAAGTTGTAACATGAAATTCAAATTCTGACTTGCAAGGAAACTTCAATTCCAAGTTACCATTTTTGAAACTATGGCATTCTCAGCTCAAGGGGTCTTAAGGCATGATTCTTAATGCTTTAGAAAGATGAGGTTACAAGCTTTGCAATGGAAAAATAATGGAGTTAAATGGATGCTTGAGCTAACAGTTATATTGAGTCAAAGTTGAAGAAAAAGGGTTGACTTTCCATACTTAGAAATATTTCAAGTTCTTCTTCAAAAATGACCTATAATGTCTTGCATCCAAATATGGCCTTCCACTTGGAATTTGCTCTTTACCAAAATAGATGGTATGAAGTAGACCTCTTGAATGACACTTTGAAACTTGGATCATTCAAAATATCCAAAATTTGAACAAGTTATGACTTGTTGAAGTTGGCAAAAAATCATGAAATGACCTATAACCTCTTGCATCTTTAAGACAACTTCCATCCATTTTCCCACTTTGCACATAAAAGAAGGCATAAATTTCACATCTTCAAGATCATTTTGGAAAAATAATGGGCTCAAGGTGATAAACATTGACCAAGTTATGATCATTTGAAGTCACACATGGAAAATTGGGGATTCATCTAGAGGACTTGTAATCTTTCTTCTTCACCAAGTTTCTTCCACATGAAAACTCTTTGGAACTTTTGAAGTAATTTGTTTACAATCCTTTGAAGAGAATGATGTATTTGGAATCATTCAAAAATACCAAAAGGTGAGCAAGATATGCTCCTTTGAAGTTCAAAACCCTAGCTTCTAGATCAAGAAAATGCTTTGAAGAACTTTGACAAGCTTGAACAAACTTCTTGTACCAATATTCTTGCTTTGTGAATAGAAGTTGTTGAGGATGATAATGAGGATTCATAGCTAAAAAACCACTTCCATTTGAAAATAGTTCTAGTGATAAACTCATTTAGACAAGATATGCAAATGGTGATCAATCTTTCAAAGAAGCCTATGAATGTGTTAAGAAGAATCACATGGAGCCTTCTTGAACAATATTCTTTTAGCATCCCTACATACCACTCGTTAAGTCATTATTAACTTGGAATCATTAGTAACGAGTTTGTAAAACAAACAATGAGTAAGTTGTGGAATAAGGAAAATTAGAGTAAAAATAATGAAATACAACATAAGTAAATAAATGACTTAAATGTGAAAAGATAAGGAAAAAAAGTTGCACCAAAGACTTATAGAGGTATGTCCTAACCATTTGACCTACTCCTCTCCGCTAAAAAATTTCTTGAGAGTTTCCTCTATGATGTGATGTTTTTACAGGTTTTGCCCACGGATCTCCTAACACTGGATATAAATATATGTTTTTATTTTTTTTCATGTGTAGTATCCTCGTCAGCGTAATGGTATAAATTGCAGTTATTTTATGTTTAGGATTATGAAAGAAATTATTCTTTTGAATCAAATAGAGATTCCAACCATGATATGGATTTTTAACTTATGATTTATTTTAATATTT